TGGATTTGGTGTTGTTTAAATTTGGGTTTTCAAGGTTAATGACCAGAGACGTTCATGTTGCTGCAAATCCCTTCTGAAATCTGCTCTGGAAAGAATTGATACACCCCAAATTTAGGAAAAAGTGGTGTTTTCTATTTGAAAAAAAAGCATTTTTTATCAGGAGGGGCTCAGTAACTCAAGAGTTCAGCTCCAAACCCAACCCAGCCTGGATTTGGGCATTTCCAGGGATGGGGCAACCAATCCCACAGATTTTCTGGAAATAGCATGAACTCCCTGGGAATCCTCGGGGTATTGCAAGAAAAAGAATGAAATTCCATTTAATTTTTGGTTTTTCTTTGGTTATTTCAGCGTTAGCAACAAGACAATTTTACGCTGCCACTACCGCCAATCTCTACCTCCCAAATTGAAGCAAAAAATGACATTTTCGACCTAAAAAGAGCAGTTTCTACCAGGAGGGGCTCCATCCGTTGGTGTAGCAGGGTCAGGGCAGGTAGGGCCAGACACCATCAACTCCAAACCCCATCCAACATGAATTTGGGCATTTCCAGATTTGGGGCAGCCCCAGATTTTCTATGAATTCCCAAAGTATTGCAACAAAAGAATGAAATTCCATTAAATTTTTGGTTTTTCTTTGGTTATTTCAGCATTAGCGATGAGAGTATTTTACACTGCTACTACAAAACCATTTGTAAATCCACTGCTACTGCAAATCCCTCCCTATGTCAGCAGTAAAACACCCCGAATTTAAAGCAAAAAATGACATTTTCGACCTAAAAAGAGCAGTTTCTACCAGGAGGGGCTCCAGCCGTTGACGTAGTAGAGGCAGGGCAGGTAGGGCCGGACACCATCAACTCCAAACCCTGTCCAGCCTGATTTTGGCATTTCCAGATTTGTGACAGCCATTCCCACAGATTTTCTGGGAACAGCCACAAATTTTCTGGGACCAAAATATTGCAATAAAATGAATTCAATGCCATTAAAATGTTGGGTTTTTCTTTGGTTATTTCATCATTAACAATGACGGAATTTTATGCTGCCACTACAAAATGATGCCACTGAACCCCATCCCTGAATTTAAGCAAAAAAATGATATTTTTGACCTAAAAAAAAGCACTTTCTACCAGGAGGGGCTCCATCCGTTGACGTAGTAGAGGCAGGGCAGGTAGGGCCAGGTGCCCTCAGCTCCAAACCCTGTCCAAGCCATTTCCACAGATTTTCTGGGAATAGCCACAAATTTTTTGGTTATCCTCAGGGTATTGCAATAGAAATAATGAAATTCCATTAAATTTTTGGTTTTTCTTTGGTTATTTCAGTGTTAACAACAAGCGATTTTTATCCTGCCACTACTGCCAATCTCTACCTCCCAAATTGAAGCAAAAAATGACATTTTCGACCTAAAAAGAGCAGTTTCTACCAGGAGGGGCTCCATCCGTTGACGTAGTAGAGGCAGGGCAGGTATGGCCAGGCTCCTCGCAGCGCCAGCAGCGCCGTCCCCGGCGATTCGGCCGCTCCTTGGCCACCACCCCGCGAGTCCAAGCGGCTCAAACCATTCCCCAGCTCTTTCCTCTTGGTCTTGTACCTCCTGTTCTGGAACCAGATCTTSACCTGGGTCTCGGTGAGCTGCAGGTGCCGCGCCAGGTGGGCGCGTTCCGGGGCCGACAGGTATTTCTGGTGGCTGAATTTGCGCTCCAGTTCGATCACTTGGCTGTGGGAAAACGCAGCTCGGGAGCGCTTGGTTTGCCGGGGAGGGC